CACAGCGGTATGTCAGAGGAGTTACAACGCTAGAATCCGAGTTGTGCTTAATTACAAACAAACAAACACTAAAAGATTGGCCCACAGTGGCACAGCGGTATGTAGAGGAGTTACAACGCTAGAATCCGAGTTGTGCTTAATTACAAACAAACAAACACTAAAAGATTGGCCCCCAGTGGCACAGCGGTATGTCAGAGGAGTTACAACGCTAGAATCCGAGTTGTGCTTAATTACAAACAAACACTAAAAGATTGAGAAGATATGAGCGAAAGTATAGCTAAAGTGACCTTAGTTGGAGTAAGATGATTAGGTCCAGTTACTAAGCCTTTTTCTTATTCTGTTTTTCAGCAGAAGAACCGACACGTTCGCTTACTAAATATTATAATTAAGGCATTAGAAGTACATATATTTATCATTTAGAGATCCGAACGAAAAGTAACTCCATCCTTTTACTTCAGTAAACATTTTAAAAACGCACAATCTAAAAATTATTTATTTATCAAACTTCTTGTGGGTCCATGAATCTGTGGGTCACAGGGTTTCTAATAAGGAGTCGCACAAAACTTTTACTTTTATAAAACAAAATACCATTAATATTTATATTAATCCCACCAATTACTTCTAGGGCCCTCTATTTATTTTACTCAGAAAATGAATCATTTCACCCACTTTTTTTGGTCAGTTCTTTACATTGGTTGTTGTAACAGACAAAATCACAAAAAATACTCAACATGATGCAATATGTGGATCCTCCTCTCAGTAGTGAACGATATAAAAATAAGTCGGTAATTTAAGGGCTAAAGATCTTAGTGCAAAGGGCGGTAGATGCTTAGATGATGACACATGAGTAGAAATGTCTTGTATGATTAGAAATAAGTTTAGTGTTCTTTAGAGCAGTAATCGATTTAGCGTACTTAAGTTACTGTTAGACTTTTGTAGTTATCCTAGGAGACCAAAATATAAGTAGTTCGATATTATTGCTGCATAACCTTAAAAACCTTAACTGCTTAGTTCTCTCCAGTGATCGTTAAGTATATCTTTATACAATATTAATCAAAAAGAAATTTGCCTTTCGAATATTAGATTACTTTAAAAGTTTGAGCTGGCGTTATCGTACTTCACATGAAGCCGAAATTCAAAAACTTACTGATCGAAATACCTCTTTTATTGCAAAATACAAATTCAATTTCTGGTGTGATTATGTAAAACCAACAAGAAAAAACTAAGACATTTTGGTCAAGTTATTCTTTCATAGCCTGCTACTTTTTATTCAACAATTTCTAGGATATTAGTTTTTTGTTGTGTTATCTGATTACACAGGCCTGCGATGGTTTTATTGTCTTGAAATATTTACATGTTCTACAGTAATTCCTGTACGCTGAATACGAAAATGATATCCACTTTTCTCCATCACGTATAGCTTTTTCACAAAACGTCATATGTACTTTATATGAATCATTTTCATTGAACTCGAGTCACATTTTGTTATGCTTAAAATG